TAAAAAACATAACTTGAAACTAAGATAAGGTGGGCTGAGCCAGACCTGGTGGGGGTGAGGTTTTGTGGTTTGTATCCTTTTACCACAAAGAAACAAAAACAAATTGCATGATCCAGTTGAACTGTTTGAATAGTGGTCAGAGATGTTGACTTGAATAGTGGTCAGAGATGTTGACCAGCTGCCTTCCCTGTAATCTATCACTTCAAAATTAGGGATGGCTAACACAGTTAGCCCTTGGGTAGCTTTGCGTAAAGTTTGATAAATTGTGTTTTTTTTCCTGTACCTGGATTATGGGTTCATTTGATGTCATAGCTACCTGATGTGCCATTTTTCAATATTACCAATTTGAAACCAGAAAATATCCAAAAACAGACTTATTAGTTTATATGAGGTTATCCTGTGGTTAAATTATAGGGAAGTTATCCTGTGGTTAAATTATAGGGAAGTTATCCTGTGGTTAAATTATAGGGAAGTTATCCTGTGGTTAAATTATAGGGAAGTTATCCTGTGGTTAAATTATAGGTAAATTATCTTGTGGTTAAACTATAGGGAAGTTATCCTGTGGTTAAATTATAGGGAAGTTATCCTGTGGTTAAATTATAGGTAAATTATCTTGTGGTTAAATTGTGAGTGTGTTCATCCTGATAGTACGGGTTGATTGACAGTTAAAGTGTTCATCCTGGTTGTAAATATTTACTGAGAGTGGTTAGTTTAAATATTATCTCTTAACCACCGATTAATTTCGTATAGCTGAACGAGTCACTATTTTGACAAATGTATTACAATTAAACACACACACTCTCTTTCCAAGCACAGTAGATTAACCAGCATGATGAAAAGTATAACAATACAGAATTAGGAAAAAGTAAATAACAGTATAATGGATTACAACACTTACTGTAATTATATTTACCTTGGCAAATTCATTAATATTACTATAGTACTTAATAGTAAGGATCGTGATGAAACAAAATGGCAGCCGTACAAATTGCCCATTTAAAACCACCTGTAAAATGTCTGAATATTAACAATGATTATTTTACAGTATTGGCTGAACAAAACTAAAGGTTATTGTATTTATAAAGCCACCCTAAATCTGTGTTTATGGAGTGAATCCAAAATTTAATCATTTCAACAAATTTTTGTCTAAGTAAGTAAATGACTTTTCTAGACAAGCGTACAGAAAAAAATGATGAAACATATCACAGAACTCTTCCATCTGGGGTCTCAATGATCCCTTTCTTGTACCGAGAAGAACACCAGTATATATATATATATATATATATTAACGAACAATGCACTACTTCGAGTTTATAATTAGATTTGAAGGTAGGTTGGTAGACATCTTAAACACACTTAGTGTTGCTGGCACACAAAAATATAACTAATAAAAAGGAAACAAACAAGTACAATAAAAAAATTGTTAATGTTATAAAGACAATATATATGTAACCTAGCTAGCTATAGTAATATAGAAAATTTTAATGCTACAAAAAATTATCGAAACAAGAAATTAAAAAACTACAAAAACTGAGTTACTTAAAATTTAAAACATTTTATCCCTACTTTAGCTCAGACTGACATAATTAGTGATTTGTCAAAGTAGAGATAATTTTTTAAAAATTTTAAGTAGCTTAGTCTTTGTAGTTTTGACTTTCTTGTTTCAATACTTTTTGTGACATTAAAACTTTATATATTACTATAGCTAGCTAGGTTACGTATATATATCGACCCCTACTTGTCTTTATAAAATTTACAATTTTTTTTTATTGTACTTATATATAAATGTATCAAAACTGTTTATCTACAGACAGAGTTACTTAGAAGTACTTTCTTTTTACATTTTTTTGAGATTTCAGTATGATGAAGATTAGACAACATTGTTTAGCAATTGAATTGTTGAAAACTAATAGACAAAAAACTTGGAAATGTTAATTATTAAGTGACAGTTAATAATCTTATGGTTGATTACCTTGTCTTGGGATGTTCACATGGAATGTTACGAGATTGGGCAAACTTATCAAAGTCATCGACTTCTGCCTGTTTTTCATTCTGAAGCTGATTGGATGCTGACACAGTTTTTATCTGAACAACTGCACTGGTGGCATTTGTAGATCCTAAGTCTGGTAATGGAAAAAAAGGCAAAAAGATAGTATTACGATATTAAAGTTACAACATCAAGTGCTGAGTGTCAGTGAAGCAAATCAATAAGAAGAAAGGCTCACCTTTCGAAAGCTCTTGGGTTATAGGGTATCTTGCTTTTAAAATTAATAAAACTAATATCTGTGATAAAAATCATGTTAGATCACAAGGGGATTGTTATCCACATCCTTCTTAATCTCTCTACTACTGGTTTTAAGTTGAAAATTTGTAAAAAACATCAGGTAGCTCAGACATCTGCTTTATTTTCATGTTCATGAGAGAACTTCACAATTACGTTAGAAAACAAACCTTTAACCACAGTATAACTTCTCTATAATTTAACCACAGGATAACTTCCCTATAATTTAACCACGGGATAACTTCCCTATAATTTAACCACAGGATAACTTCCCTATAATTTAACCACAGGATAACTTCCCTATAGTTTAACCACGGGATAACTTCCCTATAATTTAACCACAGGATAACTTCCCTATAATTTAACCACAGGATAACTTCCCTATTATCGGTATACATATACTGTCATGATGAACAAACTCACTATCGGTATACATATACTGTCATGATGAACAAACTCACTATCGGTATACATATACTGTCATGATGAACAAACTCAGTATCGGTATACATATACTGTCATGATGAACAAACTCACTATCGGTATACATATACTGTCATGATGAACACACTCAGTATCGGTATACACATACTGTCATGATGAACAAACTCACAGTATCGGTATACATATACTGTCATGATGAACAAACTCACTATCGGTATACATATACTGTCATGCATGACAGTATATGTATACCGATAGTGAGTTTGTTCATATGAACACTTTCTCAGTTTAAACAGCTACTGTCAAAAAATGGTTGCTATAGTGATAAACATTATATCAGTTGAAACAGCTACTGTCAATAAACGGTTGCTATAGCGATCATCTTCGGCTAACACTAAATGATGCTAACTATCATCTTAGCTAACACTAAATGATGCTAACGATCATCTTCGGCTAACACTAAATGATGCTAACGATCATCTTCGGCTAACACTAAATGATGCTAACGATCATCTTTGGCTAAAACTAAATGATGCTAACGATCATCTTTGGCTAAAACTAAATGATGCTAACGATCATCTTCGGCTAACACTAAATGTAGTTAAGTGATAACAAAAGTTAATTTTCCAAACAAGTAAATTTGTAAGAAACCTCACCTTCTGAACAATTTCTTCCTCCTACCAAACGGAGAGAATGAAACAAAAAACACATATTAGACACACACACGCACACAATAAAACAAACATTAGGTACGTAATTAAACATGGCACAAAATCAAGCTTCAAAGAAAATAAATCTATTTGTAACATCCCACTGAGATAACTCAGCATCATCACATCAAAACAGAATGTTGCCTTCCAAGTGTGTAAAATATTAATAAAAAACTAGTAACCCGTAAAACAAAAGATTACCACTTCAATAAATGGACAACCACAAAGTATTAACCTTTAATAATTCCATTTTTGTCATCACATTTATTTGTATTTCTCACTTATTTTAGAATAACCATCCACTTTAATGATGCTTAAACATTCCTATTAATACTTACAGGCTAATTTTATGCCTTTTAAGTTTTAAGATTTATTATCCAGTAAATTTTATATACTTAATATCACTGTTTTTTTCCCCCCTGATTTTGTTTATTTCTCCTAAGTTCTTCGTGACATCACTTGTGAATGGTTGTGAAGATGTCAAATCAGTGAAATATAGCAAATAAAATTACTGTCTTTTAACCTTGAATTTGTTGTACAGGATAATTTAATACTAGACAAGCAGTTATGTTACTACGGTAAGCAGCTTATAACCGTAGCTGAAAAGCTATGAATGTTCTTATTTTCCTTGAAATCCATAATGGAACAGTTAAGAAAGATGTGTTCGAAACCAATTACGAAAAAAGGTGGGTATTAACCAGAATGTGACAGTTTAGAAAGAAACGTTTAGCTATAACTGGCCAAATACGAAAGATATATTCAAATCCATTGTGGGACTGTTAAGAAAAAAGGTGGGTATTAACCAGAATGTGACAGTTTAGAAAGAAATGTTTAGCTATAACTGGCCAAATACGAAAGATATATTCAAATCCATTGTGGGACTGTTAAGAAAAAAGGTGGGTATTAACCAGAATGTGACAGTTTAGAAAGAAACGTTTAGCTATAACTAGCCAAATACGAAAGATATATTCAAATCCATTGTGGGATTGTTAAGAAAAAAGGTGTTAATCCCACAAAATATCAGTTAAAAAAAGATGCGTTACAAACCGTAAGGAACCAGTTAAGAAAAAAAAGTTAAAAACATAATGGACTACCTTGGAATGAGGTAATAAAAACATTAAGAGGCTAGTTAAGAAGAAATGTTAAAAGCCATAATGGGCCAGTTAAGAAAGAAGTGTAAAAATGATTAGAAGTGAAATTGTGATATTTCTAGCTCACGAGTGTTCTGTTTAACTTAATTCAGTGGAAATCCAAAAGTCAAGCAAGTATCTGATATAATCTATATTATTTGATATCGTTTTACTTGATACTTGATCTGATCATAGACATTCTCAATACCTAAAAACACAACACAAGTGGTAACACGGGAACACAAAAGCCAATAATGATCACTACAATAAAACATAAGCAAACAAATAATGCCAAGCTCACTAAACCTATATACACACACATATACAGTATAAACAACAACACATACCTCTTGAGGCCTGACTTTAGGGTATGAGAGTGAACTAAGACTCTCACCAGCCTGATCCACATTGCTGTTTTCATCACTAGGACTAACACTGAAATAAACAAGTGAATCGTTTAAAGAGTCAGCAAACTGTTTATTCAGAGTGGCTGCTTCAACTGAAAAACTGTTTATCACTATAGCAACAATTTATTGACAGTAGCTGCTTCAACTGAAAAACTGTTTATCACTACAGCAACCATTTATTGACAGTAGCTATTTCAACTGATAGTGTTTATCACTAACACTAAATGATGCTAACGATCATCTTCGGCTAACACTAAATGATGCTAAAAAATAAACTCTCCTGAGTGGGAGATAGTGTGTTGGTCCCAATACTCTGTAACAGAATAAACTCTCCTGAGTGGGAGATAGTGTGTTGGTCCCCATACTTTGTAACAGAATAAAGTCTCCTGAACTAGAGATAGTGTGTTGGTCCCCATACTTTGTAGCAAAATATACTCTCCTGAGTGGGAGATAGTGTGTTGGTCCCCATACTCTGTAGCACAATAAACTCTCCTGAACTGGATACAGACTGTTAGCCTATACTACGTGTAGTGTAACATACATACCTGAGCTTGTAATAGAAGGTTGGTCCCCTTTATCTTCAGAAGGCTACAGTAAGAGAAAGATGCAGCAGTTAGAATTAAAACCCGAATAACACATCACCTTTATGAGAGAAACATTTTTCTAATAGTATCAGTCAAACTCAATATTATATTACCCCCTTTCTTTTTACTTAGTCTAAAAGTAAAAAATTTTAAATATATTACTGGTCTTATTTTATTTACACATTTACCTTAGTTTACTTTATGACCATGCCGTTATCAGTGTGTTAACAGTTCACCTGTATACACAACCATGGCTGGCGTTATCGTTCTAATAGCATTTAAAATGGGTCTAACAATTTAGTACACACAACTAGAGCTGTATTTTCTTAGCTTGAAGTACATTGTAGTAATTGGGTTTTTAATAAAATGTTGTAAAGCTAGGTTGGTACTCAAAGGGATGAGATAAAAAAAAAATTCTAACCTTATCTTGTAACCATCTTTCCATTTCATCAAAGTCTTGTTCTTTGTGTAGCTGAAAAGAAATGAGCGTCATAAGCTGTGGCCTACAAGAAACACTAGATGTATTTACTCATTTAAAAATAGCTTAACTCCTTTTTGATTTCATGAAACTGTGTGTTTGTATAACTTAATATAACATCCTTACTTGCCTGTAGATATTAAAATAATGACCATCTTCAGCTAACACTAAATGATGCTAATGATCATCTTCAGCTAACACTAAATGATGCTAATGATCATCTTTGGGCTACAGAGTATGGGGACCAACACACTATCTCCCACTCAGGAGAGTTTATTTTGCTACAGAGTATGGGGACCAACACACTATCTCTAGTTCA